ACACTTGCCAATGATCAGCTGCAGCTTGTGTGGCAGGTTTTGTTTCACTTTGGCTTTTCTTTCTTCCCTGTCCTTTTCTTCTCTAATGCCTCGCCACAGTCAGCCTAGCAGCAGAAATGCTCTTGTATCTGTTACTCATGTGTGTCAAATGGGTAAGATTTAAACATCACTGAAAGCAGAGGCAGGAGCAGCTTCTTCCTTACTAACAACCTGACAGAGTGCTTTCCTGGACAGGCTTCTGCCAAGGATTTTTAGGCTTCTGCACGATACTTGCGAATAAAATACTTGCAGAAACCTGAATTACTTGGAAAATTCTGGGATTGTGTTTGTAACAAGCTTCAGCCTACAATGAGCATAACAGGTGTATTAGGAACTCTAGTGCTATTTGGGGCACATATATTGCTCACCGTTTACTGTGTGTGACTGTTTACAGACTAAGATTTTCCAGCTCTGTATTTCTCACTCAGCATCATGATTTCTGCTGGATGGGCTGCTAACACAGCAGCAACAGTGAGAATTACACTTGGGAAAGGAGAAGACCATTGTTGATTCTCATATTTTTTAAAAGTGTAGCCATTGACATGATTATTTTCTTGCAATAATTAAAAATAGATGACTCCTGCCAAAGGCTTTGGTATGCAAGTGTTATGTGTGTGTTCATTTGTGAGCCAATCATGAAAATAAAAAAGAGCTGCTGTTGTCAAGATAACTATGAAGAATAATGGACTTAGCCTGAGGACAAGGCAAAGTAGCCTTTTATTATGATTGTGAAGTGAATTTATGTGTATCTGAGAGGAACTTCAGTGATATGATTTTTTCTTTCAAAATAAGATGTGTTGCCTTAAAAGTAAGAAAATTTCATGGAAACATTTTTTTTCTCAACTCAGAAAGAGACTCTAATTCAGCTCTCTAAACTCAGCGTACTGAAAAGAGAACTGATCTCCTGGCTTTCTGATGACTATTCAGCCTAGTGAGGATTTCTGTGTATCTGAATTACATCTCACACCTCAGGCAGCAAGTTGCTCTGCAGTTGATAAGACTCGTAGAAAGAAAACGGCACAATGCAGATCTTAGTGATTTCTGAAGCTCTTGCAATAACTTCCATACTGCTTTAAACAATGTCTTTGAAAGGGCAAGAGGAAATCTCAAACGCTGCATAACAATTCTTTGTTAAATACAACTAAATGCCCCTTCAAGGATGAAACAAATACAGCAGCAGCTCAGGAGTGCACAAGTAGAGGTTGCACCTATGCCTGACTTGAAGTGCATGATTTATTAATCACTTCAGTCTCCACTCCTGCATACAAAGACTGATGTTTTCACCCAGTTTGCATCCATATTTATTTGGGTAATGTAATTATATTTTGTTTTTAAGCTCTGTGGTTTATCACAAATGCTGGGAGTGACTGCCCAGAGGTAGCTGGGCTGACAAATCACACAGGACCTCTCCTTGACTCGCACCAGGTTAATCAACAAGCAGCTCAGTCCCTAATCCTTCAGCACGCTCGCCAAGAGTTATGAATATGTGTGCAGAGCTTCCCAGGCTGAGATCCAGAAAGAGGGAAGGCGAGTGATGCAGAGTGAGCGTGGGGATTGTGACAAGGGCCAGCACGAGCACCTTGAAAAATACCACTGCTCTTTAACAACCTGCTGTACTGCTCGAGTCAAAACCCAACCTCTTTTGCACCCACGTGCTCGGCTGGGGGGGCTTTCCATGCCTGCTGGGGCGAGTGCTAGGTGCAAGATGCTCCATGGCCAGTGCCAGCCCAGGCTGATGGAGCCAAAGCTGCTCATTCCCTCTCCTGGGGGTGCACCTGGGTCCCCAGGCTGATGCAGACACCTAAGAGATGTCTGTCTCTGCACAGACCTGGCAGCTGCCCCTTGCTGCTCCACGGGCAGCACTGATCCCTGCACTGACCAGGTTTTGGCTCTGCACCAAGGCCAGGTGCACTTTTGAGGGAAGTCAGGCTTCCCCACTAGCCTGGCCTGGAGGGACAGATCCAGGGAGCACGGTGCACGCCAGCAGTGCAGCGTGGTGAACTGCTGTCCCTCTGGAGCCCTGCTGCCCTGCACAGGGGCTGGGGAGGCTGTGGGAGAGCTGAAAACATGGCATTTTTGGATAGCCCAAGAGTAGCTGGTTCCTTTGATGACAGAGTAATGGGACTGCACTGGGTTCATCTGCTCTCCAGTTACTTTCTGCTTGCAGCATGTGCCCCATTGCTCTTGCCACCCCAGCACCAAGCAGCAGGCTGAGAGCTGCCTCCATCCACAGGTCTCCTTCACTTCACATCACTGTGCATCAGCTCAGCAGTACCACGAGAAGCCTCTCTTTACAGAGACCAAAACCAAATCACAGTATGAGAAATACTCAGTCTGAAAACTAAAAAAAGAAGTCTTGTACTAAACACAAACAGTTGTCAGACGGACAACTATCGCCTTGGTTGGCAGCATCTCTACAGCTGCCTGTACCCAAATCCAGCAGTGCAAAGTGGTGCTTGTCTTCATGGGATCCCTCAGTGCCACGGCTCTCCAGCACAGTGAAGCACATTTCACAAACCCTGTGCTTAAGGATGGAGAAGTTTTTCTTTTCTAAAGGAATGATGGATTCCTGACTTATATAAATAAGCAGACGAACACGTATTAAAAGGTTGCACTTATTAATCTGAGTGTTAGTACTTTTTGTCTGATTAATAATTAAAACAAGTAATTAATCTTTAATTGTTATAGCATAGTGTTCTGTTTAATGTTCTATTTCAAATCAGTGTTTTTAAGGCAAGGCAAGAGACTACACACTTTTCAGGAGAAAGGACATCAAAGGGTGGCACTTGCGTGTTTTAGAAGTTGTTGTCAGTATCATATTCTTATTCTTGCTTCTGGCAAAATAAATAAAAAGACAGTCCAAAACCCAGTCACTTTTGACTCCACTTAAGCTGAGGAACTGGTTTCAAGCTGAGTCCTGCTGACCTTGCCCAAAAAGTTTTTATTTAAGATAAGGGGAGATTTGTGGGCACGAAGCAGCAGAGTCACAACTCCCTGTGTCCTTTCACTTGCTTAAGCATTGAGAAGAAGCTGTCTTATTTTTAAATGACGTGGGCCATGGAAGTGTCCTGAATCTCTGAACTGGAAGCACGTGACGAGCCATGGCCAGCAAGCACGATGCTCAGTGCATTTATTGTGTGCAATGCACAACAGCCTGCGCTCGCTTTAATCCACTGTACTTAATGCTAATAGCTGGGATTGTTCTATTTGCCAGTTCTTTATTTGCACCTCTCACAGCCGTAGGGAAAAATCATTCTCCATTTCCTAAATATTTATTGCTATTCAAAATTTATTTTACTGTCATTCAATAGCTCTAGATCATGGGCCAAATTTGAGCTGCAGTTTCCCTTTGCAAACAGAGCTGAAATCAACCAGATACTTTTTTTTTTTTTTCCACAAAACAGAACAATCTACTCACGAAAAGAAATGAACAGTTCAGATTTCAACAACTTTCAAACTAGGACTCTGGGATACAACAGAAACGAGACCAGGGGCTGCAGAGCTCCGCCATCCCTTCTGAAGAGACGGGCACTTGAGCTGAGCCTTTGCCCTGTTACATGTCACCACAGGGTATAAACGAGAGACAAACACGATTTCTGTCCCACTGGATTGTTTGTTACACATTAACAAAAAATAGAAAAAAAATATTTAAAAACCCAGTCCTCCCATTGGGGTATAAAACAGAAGATATGAAAAATAAAAATGAACGTTAGTTTAGTTATAAATGTGCTTGTTAGGTGTGTTAAATTAATGGCCAAACCAACATTTTTTCACCCAAAATGAGCCGCAGTTCTTTTGGACAACAAGAAACATTCTCTCTATAAAGGTTAGATTCTCCTCTAAAACTGTCTTCTAAGAAGATACACTATCTCTAATAAGGTATTTCTAATCTACACTCTATTCTAAGAAGGAGGAAAAGGAGACTACGCAGACAGCACAAATTAACTCCTTAAGTATCAATGCATCTCCATTTTCAGCCTGAAGGAGTACATATCTTAAGGAGCTATGAAAAAAGAAAACAAAATAAATATAACTCAACAGTCCTAGCAATTTATAATGCATATACAATAGTTCACCTGCATCCTTTTGATTCTCTATATGAAAGAGAGAAAGCAACAAGGAGAGAAAAGAGAGAAACAAGAACAGATATGCAGGATTAATGAGCAAGTGGATCGCAGAGCCCCCCAGTTATGTGTGATACATGACATTTGAAAAGAAGAAGAGTCGCCCCGTCTCACCCCCCGCCCCCCCCCGAAGCATGGGGTTACCAAAAGAAGCTCCTTTCACAGAGGTGAAAGAAAATGCTGCACAAATAGAAAACCAGAGAAGGCGAGCTCTGAGGACACAGAGGGGATCTCCAAGTGACAGCAGGGCTGGGACGTCCCCTCCAGAGCTCGGTGTAAAGGAGTCAGTAAAAATTATCGAGGAGAGCAAGTAAAGCGCATCCTTCCGCTCGAGAGCTGCCAGGCAGGAGACACGTAAGATCTGATGTACAGAGAAAGGACAGCCTCATACAATCTCATACACAGGACTGGGTAAAGATCTCATACGCAGGCAAAGGGATGGCTTTTTCCAAGTGTCCTTTATCTGACCTCTAGCTCACTCCTCCCCAATGTAGCTGCTACCTTTTGATTGTGTACCAGTGACAAGCACTTTACAAATTGGGGTTACACAGAAGCAAAGTAAAAATGCATTCAGGTCACAGACATAAAGAAGAACTGAAAAAACTTACAGACGATCTGAGTTTATCACAAACAGATGGGTTCATTGTCTAACCTGGTTTAGGCTGATAAAAAGTGACTGGACTTCTCACACTGGGTTTCACAGACAGAAGCAACAGACAAGCCAATGCTAAAAGACTTGAAGCAAGGAGAGTGAGTTGGTTTGGATCTGGACTTTCTTGAGGTAATGAAAACAGAAAGAGTGAGGACAGCATGGAGAGGAGGGTGGTAGGTACTCACGAATGGTTAAATCCATCACTTGAGAGGCCAAGCAGAAGACAGGATGCTCATACATTTCTCTCTTTTTCCCTATAAAAGAGGATTTGGGCATGCAAGAGGCTTAGGTCAGAGGTAAAGAGGTTATAGGCTATAGGTCAGAGGAAAACTTTATATTAGGTTAAAGGAAAAGTAGCCGTAGAGTATTTTGGGATACACACAGGATAAAAGGCAGAAAAAAAAAAACCAACCAAAAATAAAGGAAAAAAAAGGAGGGTTAAAAATTGGAAATCTGTTGGATTAACCATTCAGCATGCCCATGAGTCACAAGAGAGGCTGTGACCATGACTCTAGAGGTTTGCTCTGAACTGTTTGCAAGAATATAATGATCAAAACGTCATGAATAGAGGGAAATAGAATTTCACTGGTTTAAGGCTCCGAGATACTAAGGATTTCAGCCTTTAGTATCTAAGGATTTCACAGGTATTTCTTCATAAGCATAGCCTCAAGCACTGCTGCCACCGATTTGGTTCTACAGCTCTGACAAAACTCTCTCATATGTGTGGCTGTTCAAACATCATCTTTCAAAAGCAAGATTTCAAAGACATGTGTGGCACACAAGAACGCATCTCACCGAGGAAAATTTGTTATTTGCTCTTCTAAGGAAGTATTTGAACACGTAGTGGACTATGCTCATGAGAGAAAACCCAATGCATGCAGCTGGCGGATGTTGGGTTGTTTGAATTAACAATCCCAGCATGCTTGGAAATTGGTGTTACAACCACTTTTATAGAGATTGTATCAAAAAGTGGCTGTGGCCAATCACGGATAAAGAAGGAGAAAAGCAGAAGAGAGCAGGTAGTGTGGAATGAACTATTTCCCTGAAAAGGTAGCTGGAAAAAAATAGGTTTGTTGCTTCAAAGTATTCCCAGACCTAAAAGTCACAGTGCGAAAAAGAGGGCAGATAATTAACACAACCAAGAAGAATTGAGGCACAAAAGGAAAAGTACACACTAACTGTTCTACTTTGGAAATGAATGCATTTTTACTTACAGATCATAAAGTTTGTTTTTGCATAGATTTATCTGAAAGAAGAGAGCAAATCTTACCAACAAGTTAGTGATATTTACACCGAGAACCTAAGGGAGCCAGCCCTGGGCAGAAGCATTCATCAACAGAAAAGCTGCTTTCGACTCTCAGTCCTTCTCCATCCTTGTCAAGTATATTTAAACATTGCATTTTACAGAATACACCAATTAAAATATCCTGTGAAGTTGAGTACTTCGATAAATTGCCTGATAATACAGTGCTTATGAAACCTTCGTTCCTTCTCTATTTTTGTCACTCATTACCAAGTCAAGAGTTGATAAACATCCTTTTAGTGCCCAATTCTTAAGTGTTTCTCACTGGATGCATAACAATGAATTCATTACCACTGGTACACAATTTGCATCGTTAGACAGAAAAAAATGGAAAAAGAGAGGACATGTCATGTACAGAACCTGGACAATTTGTCATGTAATAACCCAATTTTTCATGGTAACAAGAAGTAAGAACAAAGCAGAGGGAGTTTGGGGTGGTTTTTTTTCTCCTCTCAATATTGTCCTAGAGGCACACAATGATAATCTCAGCTGTGGGAAAGCTTCACATCACACATGACAGAAACCCAAAGTCTAGAGCAGAACATACCATTCATCTGGAACATACAGGTTTAAACAGTTGGGAACTCAGATAAAGTTGGGTAGGAGTTTCAATTTGGGAATAGCAGCCAACAAGGTACCAACATAAACAGATTAACATGTAAAGAACGACTGGATCGTAGAGCTTCAGCTAACACGTGTCCTCCAGCAAGCTTTAAAATGTCTTTTTGATGGCTACGTGTGTCTCTCTGGTCACTGGTTACTATTCCCCCATATCTTAAAAGGTCAATAATATCAGCAATGCCAGATTTAGAGTGACAAGAAAGAAATCTGATGAAGTATGAGATCACTGATCAATGACTGCTATGCAAACCACAAACACAATTAAACACTCCCAGAAAAAAAAGACATTTTAAATTGTTAAATTGGCTACAAATGATTAAGCATAGATTAAACAGTTTTTCAGCTTCTTATTTTTCATTTGTTTCCTGAACTCCACTGTCACAAGCAATTAGCTGCACTATACCTTCAGCTGCAAAGATGACATCCCAAGTATTTCTCAATTTGTTTTTTAAAACCACAACATGAGTCTGAATATCACACCACTGGCCAAATGCACTAACGATCCAAAAAAAAAAAAAAAGAATCTACAGTTCCTTTTAACCGTTTCCTCTCTCTTTTCCAGAAAAAGAAATGCTTTGCATAGCTTCCATTCTTAACTGCTTCCGAAGCCAACACCACAAAAACGATTCAGATTCACATCAGTTTTATTGACAAGCGAACAAATAGCACATGAGCTTCTTTTAAATAGCTCCCAGCCACAGTTGCCACCTAGAAACATAACAAAATTGTAATTTCACAAAGAAAAAGCCTTACCTTCAATTTTGGCATACTCTGATAGTCGAGTATAATTGACTAGAGCTGCTTGCTCCAAGCATTTACGGATGACTGTTTTTACCTCCTCTTGAGGGACTGGAGTAACTATGTCTTTCATCAGAACCTTGACACAAGAAAATCTGATTTGTTGTGGCATCAGGCACACAGAACTGCTTTTCTCCAAGCCCAGCACTTATATCCATTCCTACACCAGTGCTGTGTGGCTCCTGGAGTATGCGTATGATATGCAGGATTCACTACAAGGTCACCCTGGCCAGCCTGAGACGTGGGACCTACCCCTGCTGTATTACTCCCCTTCTCTACCTATACGCTATGGCATGCCCCAAAATTCCTTTTTCTGATTTTTCAGGGCATGGCATTAAGACCTATCACAACTTGCCCAGTGCCTGGCAATGTTATGCCCTTCCCAGGCTCTGACTATTGACTTGGGTTTAGGTCTGGGTTTGGCCACACTGAGGGTTAGCAGTGGGGAGAATGATGTTGGTGCAGCACCAAGGCTGAAGTCTGGGTGGGGAGGATGATGGTGAGCAGGTTTCCTGTGCCCAAGGGGAATGAGCCTGCCTTGAAATGGGAATTTCAGTGGACAGCAGCCAGGCATCGCTTGCAAGGGTCTGGGGTTTAGATGCTTGTCAACGAGATCCTCCAGCCTTAGCTCCCAACACAGACACAGGCTGTGCTGCCTTCAGAGCCAGGCTACACACTGGCCAAGAGATAACCCCACCTAAACCCACCCAAATCCCCACTTTCCAGTACGATCTGTCATCAGTTACCTATGAAAAACCAAGAGTTCCTCAAGCTCTTCTGGATGGAAAGACACACAAACACAGGTAATTTTAACTACTCTCTGTTATTCTTTTGCTTACCCGTTCCAGCAGCGATAGAGTAGCTTTCAGTGCACCTTCTGGACGGCCAAATGGAAAGCAGTACCTAGAAAAATCACATCATGTTAACATCAGACCAGATGCATGCAAACTAGCCTTTCCAGAGTTCTAAAGATGCTTTCCTAAATATGTCCAAGCAATTCTTTAGTACCTCTGCCTAGAATGAGCAGTCTTTCTATAGGATAACTTTCCAAAAGGCTTTGATGGTGTGTAAACTGAGGCAGCATAAGAGAATATGGGATAGTATTTAATAGGCTGATAGTTTTAGCAGCTTATTAAATCTGGGTGTCACTTGGTGAGTTTTTAGATCTCCTAGGAGAGATTTAACTATCATTTTCTTGTGAAAATGGGAAAAAGAAAACCCAAAAAACTCCTCTGGAAAGGCCATTTATTTCCAGGTGGAGACCTGGCAATGCACCAGGCTGTAGGTAACCAGCTGAAGCAGCCACTGTCCCCAGCAAGGGGCAGCTCCAAGGGGCTCCCGCAGGGACTCTGCCTGTGAAGACACATTGCTCATCTGCAGGGAAACGTGCACAACCTGCCCAGGGTCCAGCTGGTGTGCTGGGGGCAATTCATCCCTTTCTGTGGGGGCAGTATCCATCCTTTCTCTACTGTGACATCCGTGCAGAAAGTCCTGCCTGCCTGTATACTAGGCAGAATGTAAAATGCATGGGTTATCACTGAGTAGAGAGGAAAAGAGAAATAAGAGGATAAGGGATTTGTTGTTGTGGCTAAATTTTAGAAGAAAACCACAGCAATACCATGCTTACGGGAGAAGATGGTTTAAAATATCCTTTAAAGGTTACATATTTAAACTCACTCTCCAGCTACAAATATGCTACCGTGGAAGCTTCGCTGCCCTGTGTAGGTCTGTGTCACACAAAATTCCCATATGCATTCAAAACCTGCCTTTTGGCTTTGCTGTTTATAGGAGGGAGCTGGGAGGAAATCAGTCCTCTCGCACTCAGCCTGGGCTCTCTGCCTTTACCTAAAATGTGTGATCTGATTCTCCAGAAGCAAACGAAGCCGCTCCTTGATCTCCTCAAAACGCTCTTTCTCGTCTACAGTCACAGTTCCTATCCCGTCAGGCCTGGAGGAGAAATACCACAAATGACTCAGACCCCACCACACCACCCTGGGAACTCAGCCCCACAGCACGTTGCCCTTTCAGACAGGGATGTCACCAACTATGAGACCTGGGAGAGGGGATGTGCCACACCAAGACACGGTGGTCACAGCAGCACCACTGCCCAGGTATCAAAAATAAAGAAAGGAGTCTCCTCTCTCAGAGGGATAATCTGGGTGTGGACCCCCAGTCCCCTTTATTTTTTCTGATAGAGAAGTTGGAAAAATCAGAATTCCCTTTTTCATATAGGTGTATGACAGGGAGTACAACACCAGCTCTCACTACGGGATCGGGCTGATAAAATAGGGGATGAATTTCTGCAGAAAAATTCAGCTGCTAATTTAACACAATTCACAGTATAAAAGAATATCAACAACAGGCGTATATACAAACAGAATATAAAATTCTGCAATCCTTCCTAACCACTGAATCACCCCATTATAGTGATTTCTTGAAGTGAACCACCCTCAACACATTCTGCCGGAATGAGCCTAGAGAGCGACACGCGTTTTGTATTGGAAAATGCAACGCAGTTTTGGGCATTTAATCACAATTTATAAAAACTAACACGCTGCTACAATTTCCTCGGACTTTTGATGACACCCTTGTGTTTCAGGAGTGCACAGGAGTGGGTTGTGAGACACCCGGGTCCCGCTGCCTTGGGGTATTTCCCATCTTTCACAGAGCACAGCGTGCAGGCGAACCCTGCGGGAGCTCTCCCGGGGCTGAATGATGCCGTGGTCCCGCCTCTCTTCCGCCTCTGCCGACGCCAACCCGCCCGAGAGCCGAAAGCAGCAATGCCCTCCTCCTCCTCCCCCACACAGGAGTGCCTCTCACCTGCCCACCGAAGGAAGGGGCCAGGCAGAGAACAGACGGCACCGCTTCCCCTCGCGGGCGAGCAACCTCTACGGGTTTGTGTGCTCCCGGGCAGCTCCGCTGGCACGGCCGCTCCGTAGGTAGTGTGAGGCGTCTTAAAACTGAACAAATGTTCTTACTTAAAGGCCTCCTCCAGGGTTCAGCTTAAGCTGTGTAAATCCGCAGTACTAGACTGGTTTGTCTATACAAAAGACTTGGCAAGGGATTACAAAGCTTCTAATGAACCTCCTGTCAGGGGTTAATTGGTTGGCTTTATTTTCCTCTTAAAGAATCAAAGGCCCTAAACTTAAAAAAAAAAAAAAAATTAAAAGCTATAAAAAAATGAAAAGCTATAAAATCTGTACTATCACTTCTCTTTGACCCTGCATTTAGTACTCTCTTGATATCATAAACATGAACTCTGATATTCCACCACAGGTGAATAAACCATTAAAGCATTTCAGAAGAGGAACTCGCAAACTGTACATGATATTTACTGCAAAACTTTAAAGCTAAATATATATTAAATAAAACTTGCAACATGGACACAGAAAAAAAGACTTGAATACCAGGGCACGTATTTAAATTTAAACAGCATTTAATCAGAAATCTTGACTTGATTATTTGCCAAATTCTCTTGTGTATTAAGAAAAAAAAAAATTAAAAGGATTTAGGCTGAAACTTGGATAAAATGTCTCATCTGGGGAACACATTTCATAAACAATTTTGGAAGTATGGATCTGGTCTCATTAGTACCTAATTAGACCTAGTTATTTTGAAGAAATGAGCAAGCCACAAAAAAAAAGCAAATTAGACATTGAGCAAAAAATTAATGTCTGAACATGGTTAATATATTTTTATTCCAAAGTTCTATAAAATATTTAATATTCAGAGAGAGATGTTCATGCCTTTTGTGGTGCTGTGCCCCTCACAGTGCCTGGTTTGCTGAAGAGCAGATAACTCAAGGCAGACAGCAATAAATGCCGTACATTAAGGGGCAAGGTTGAAGACCTCATTTGACTTTTGGCATTCAGTTCCCTCCCTGTACCCATAACAGCTCACAGAGTGTCACTAGGTTAATTGTATCAGCGCTGACAAACGAGGTAGGCAAAGCTGCCTGCCCTGGCAGTGATTTGCTGGTGGGCTGGAAAAGGTCTGAAAGTTGTGTTACCCTTTGCTGGGTCAATAACCTCAGCTGGCGAGATTTAATGGCAAGATCTGACAGCTCGGGTTGGGTCGCAGCCCTGCCACACGAACTGCAGTTTCTCACTGTATTCAAAGGGTTTTGCCAGAACCGATCACTCAGCGCTCACCACGTAGCGATTCATGGTGGGCACCCAAAACGGGCTGATGTGACAGGTAGGTCACGTCCCAGCTGGGCAGTGGCAGCTCTGGAAGCACCGCTTTGGAAACAGTGACCCACATGAAGATGAAGGGTGGGCTCTGGAGAAAGAAATTCTGGTCAACCCGGTTCTCAATGCCCAAGTCCCAATGCCCAAAGGGATGCCAATTCAACCACCAAGGTGCACGTACACCATGTAGGCTTAAACGCCTGGTGTTCACCTTTCTCGGGGTCTTTGTGAGCCAGGAGGACATCAAACCTGGAGGCTCCACCCACCAGTCCCTCTGCAGAGCCCGCCACGCAGTGTAAATGCACACCACTCTTGTGTATCATGCTACTGCAAACTTGAGACAATCTACAGGTCAGCTGTAGCCATTTTTGGAGCAGTGCAGATGTCTGGAAGGGCCTGCCAACCGAGAGCCATCACCAGGGCAAGGACTCCCTTTCTCACCCAGCTGTGGACTATATTGCATCTGACATGATGAGCATCTCTTGAATCTACCTTTCAAATTTTCGGCAAACCATTTTCTCACTGTCCTTCACAAAGTTGACATTTTCGGCAGCATGATAGGAAAGATGTCATGTCGGCTGCTTTTCAAGTTGTTGTCACAGTGGTTAGCACCAGTTCTGTCATCTTTGCTTTCCTCACAATCCCCCATCTTGAGCCATGTCACAAATAATAATACTTCCAATGTTTTTGTCAAATTTCAAATACTATAACCCAGCTGCACGTCTTCGGATTTACTAGTTACGTTAATCTTTGTTGCTCATCTTCCCAGAAGCTGAAGCATTAGGAACTCATTAATTAGTGACAAATGCAGGATATACATAGAACTAGAAAAACACTATCCAAAGCCTTGCACTTATTAGCTCGATAATTTTGAAAGCTAATTAAATATTCAAGTCAAGTACACTTTGAAAATGTAATCTTTTTGAGGGAACATATTTATTTTCCCTTTTGCAAGAACACAAAGGGTATATAGCTTAGCATCGCTGTTATTTAAGATTCACTTCTGTGCTCTAGACAATTCCAGTACATGGCTGATGGGGCTGAAAAAAATCCCCAAGGAGAAGCTCAAGTTGCACCAGCTTGTTGTGCTGCTTATCAGCAATTTTGTTTTCAATGAAGGTCTCCAGCTCAACTTTGATATTTGCTCGTGGATAGAAGCACCCATTCCTCCGTTGAGCAGCATTGCTGCAGCAAGGCTGGTTAAAGAGCAGCTGGAGGAAATGGATGTTCTCACTTGCAATCGTTATTACACTGGAGCACTGATGGGGAAGGAGAGGAGAGCAAAAGGGTGAAAAGAAGTTCTGCTATGTACATGATATATACAGATGCATGAGGGACAAAATGGGTTTGGGTCTATGAATTGGAGTCAACAAACAACATAAATGTCTCCATCTGTGTGGAGAAACAATTTTATCAGGCTCTCTACAATCCCTGCTCACGGACACTTGAGGTGTATGGCAGAAGTTGTAGGCAGAGAGGGAAGCAGAAGGGCAAAAAAGGCAAGAAAAATAAATAAGGAAAATTTTAATTATAAGTAAACAAGTTTCAGATCACTCCTTCTGCTGCAGATTCACTGTGTTGGCTCTAAACTAGCAAATTCCCACTGTAAATATTTCATATGGAAAGTTTTAAATGCCACTTTTCTAATCCCCCCTTGTTTTTAAGTTTTAAGCCACAAAAACAACAACATCAACAAAGCAGGTGGTGAAATAAAAAAAAAAAAGATTGCCATTTAAACAGCAAAAATTATAGTCCTTGTTCAGCTTAGATGGTTTGTGCAGATTCCAGGGTTAATTATAAATTATAATTAGGACCTGTGATCCTAAGGCCACTGCTTTATTCTACAAGCCCCGCCTCCCCCCATGCCCTTTTCTAATTATACCCAGTACCCCCAGGGCTAGTTATGCTGCTAAAACAAATATATCAAAATGATTTTTAACAAAGACTAATGTATGAAGCAATAGCATGCATTTGTATGCAATTATAAGTATACAGTATAGATATAAATATACAGTGGGTTAATCTCTTTGACATAAGCCCGTATGAAGTACCATGGCGGCTTATAAATGAAAAGACATATCCTCTTTTACACCTTTTATGTTTAACTTGTCTACACTTCTTTTTACTGGGGAAAATATTGCTTACACGTAGCAAACAGATCTTTGCACGCACTGTGAGCCCTGGCATACAGAGCCAAGGGAAAAAAAACAATGTCAAAAACTGATGCAAATAATTTGATTTTTTAAGTAACAACTCAAATATAAAACACGTGCTGCCTTCAGCTCCCTTGCTGGCTGCCAGGTGCAGCACATATGAGCTATACAGTAAACATCGATGATTAGTGCCTTGGACGGCATGTGTCAGGGTAGGCTTCAAAGGATCCCTCGCGGGAAGACTCGCCTGCGCGAAGCCCCGCCGGCTGCACCGGGCCTGGCTCTGGGGAGGTGGGCAGGCCCACAGCTGCCCGCCTGCTGCCTCCGCCTCCCCCAGCAAATCTGACCTGAAAGAGCCCACCTGTTTAGACCCCTTGGAAAAAGGCTTATTCAGCAAGCATCCATTTCCCCGCGGAAATGCATCCATTTCTTCGGGGAATCCACCCCGGGTGTGAAAGGCCGGTGGAAAGCCCTTTGTTCAGCCGGGCCCTCCGCCCGCTCTCCTGGGCGCTGCCCCAG